AATAAATAATAGACACACGCTTGGCCACAAACTCACCTGTTGTTAAGCAACGATGTGACCGACGTTGGTATGAGTTTGCTTAAAAAATGCCTATTCACTCTAGCCTTGAATAGCCCCAAATTTTGCTTTTGGGAAACACAGATTGAAGAAGAAGAAGCTGGTAGAATATTCCATTCCTTTGCCGTACGCATCAGAAAGGAGGAAGTAAAGCGCTTAATGCGAATGAATGGTATAATAACGACATTAGGATGGAGTGTTTCGGAACTTCTAGTCGATCGAAGGAGGAACGGTGAAGGTGGAACTACATTGAAACGTTCCTGCGCACACTCTCCTAAATATAGCCGATAGAAAACCTACAAGCATGCTACTTTTCTGCTATGGTCGAGATTTTGTAGTTTCGACTCCACAAGAGAATTGTTGTTAATAAGTATCTTTGCTTTTCGCTCCACCGAGTGGAGGGCATGTCTAAATTAACTTGTGTAATGGGTTATATATATCAACATATAAGAACTTAGTTTGAATTGTTTCCATGGATAAAATATTCGGTAATTAAAATTTAAAAAAAAATTTGTAGGAACAAAAGCTAGTTGGCCTGTCACACTGACTAGTTCTTTAAAAGCAATAATATATCGACGTTATAAATAGGTATCTGAGGCAGAACTTTTTGCAGGAGACTTCAAAGTCATGAAACTAATCAAATCGTACAATTCAAACTTTTTATACACCTGTATACCTAACATAATAGATTAAATATGAGATAAATGATGATACATTTAAATGTAACCTACTTCACTGAGCAAAAATAAAAAGTATCGCGTGATAATATTACGTAACGAATGCCATAAGTAGTCGGGTCTCCTTGAAATACATTCTGTTTGACAAGTATTCTAACCATAATAAGTTGCGTGCCTAGTGTACAGAGCAATAGAATCTCCAAGGTGCAATTTTATATGCAGAAGAGTCGGTCTGAACTTTGGGTTGCAATGATCATTTTGATATGACTCGAAACTTCTTAAATTTCATAACTAGGATCTCAAGCTATTTTACAAAATGATTCTGAACTTGGGGCCACGACGATTGTTTACTTCCGTGTTACGCAAAATAGAGTCCTCAACATGAAGATTAAAAAACTGAAGTAAGCGTAGATGGAGGGTTGGTAATCATATTGCGAGCGCAAACAAACTCAAATATTAACGTTTTTTTTTTTTAAAATATGATTTTACGACCTATTAGAATAGATCGTCGATCGTCGTCGATCGTCGTTTTTTTGTTGCCCTGTTGTTACCGAAAACTATATTGATTAGAGCAAAGTGTGGGCTGTGACAAGCCACTACACTGGATGCAAAAAGAAGGAAATGAATGAATGAAATTAATGTATTAATGATATTTGTTAACTTAAAATGTGGTTTAAAAAAGGTGGTACAAATATACACAATAAAACAGTCCTCATATATTATAGATATCATTTAAATATTTTTATTTTTTTATAATCTTGATCTTGAAATCTTGGTTTTGAAATCCAGAGTTTAGGTATGTTAATTTCACAATAAACGGCTATACTTTCATGGACGAACTCTGTTACCAGTAGCTGTTTTTCTACTAAAAATCTATACGTAAATCTATAATTCATCTACATTTTGGCAACTAAACAATTCTAAGGCAAGTCCTATTAAGTATTAAGATAGTTGTTAACATATTACAATAGTGGATGGTAGAATTAATGAAGTTTGTACGAACATGGATATCATCGCAATGCATCCATGATCCTTCACTTATATAATCATGTAACTAGTTAACCTACAGAAGAGTTATATCTAGCAACAAAGTACACGTTCTTAAAGTGACAAAAGAGTGTTAAAAGTTGACATTATTTTATTTTACAATTGAGTCACTTACAGATGAGTCAATTGGCAATTGTGAATCACCAATACGCTTCCATGAATGAATGTCCTTACGCATAGTTTACAAGTTACTATTTTAAGAATAATTAATACGTTTTTACCTACAACTTTAGTTACTTAACATTCCCTTTACCGCGTGTAACGAAAACTTGGCTATATATTTAGTTCAAAGACTCCGAGTACTCTGAGTTTCTAGAAATCGAATTTACATATGAAGGTTCGTAAATATTGAATAGTATGTTTAGGTAAATATCATTAGGTATGTGAAATAACTTCTAAGTACTGATTTTGTATGTTAGACATATTCACGCATTTTTGAATGATTTTAACGCATATTTTCCACTTTCTGCGTTTACATTAATTTTGAAACTTTCAAGTGGCACACTAACGCCATAAGCGAATGTGCAAATATTTGAACACATTGTAGGAGTGTAAGATGCGTAGGCGTCTATAGCCTTGCGCCCGCGCCGTTTTGCCACCGAGCTGGCATTGGCGTCGATCGACAACTCTGCCTTATTCGGCTAACTGGGGGGCATGATTCGCTTTAACACACTCTTTAGGCAACAAAGAATCTACAGTATTAAGCACTATGTCGAAGACTGGTTTTGCTCTGGCGATTGATGTGTGAGCTTATCTAGTAAGTCTATAATTTAAGAATTTCAAAATAAAGTAAAATATATTAATAATATATTTAAACTTTGTAGATATGGAAAAACTTTATCCGAGAAGGGCATACGTTCTTGATGAATAAGTCATTTAGAATGTAATGTCCGGGATTTAGTTTGATGAATTAATTCCTTACATGACTAAGTTGTTTATGTTTTTTCTATCTATACCTATCTGTCTCCAAAAATATAATTTTTATTTAAGTTTCGACGTGTATCAATACGTATGTAAATAAAAAATTACATGCATTCTCTTCAAAGGAAGGTACATAAATAATTCCACTTAAGTCATAAATATTCTGTGGGGCTAAAAGAGGACGAGAATTAAACAATGACAGTGAAGAGGCGTATGAAATGGAGTATTTAAACAGGCGCTAGGCGGCCAGCTGATCAACCTTCCGATCTCATTTACATTTACATACCTTCTGCGGGCACCTACATTGAGAGATTAACTATAATGTATAGTGTGGGGCTCGTAATACAAAATTCGACGTTCATATTATGCCTTACGTCATTTCTTAGCATCCAAACTTGCAATTTAAAAATTAATACTTTGTTTTTATATCTTGTTGATTGGCGAACGTAAATTTATATGGTCTGTGGTAAATACACACGCGGAACAAGGAACAGCATGAAGGAAATTTTCAACGTAATAGATATTGTAGATTTCTCAATTTGAAATAATACTTTTTTGTATTGTAGTTGATGCTTGCGTGCATGTAAACCAACAAGCAAGTAAAGTAAGTTTTACGAATTTCCGTATTTAGTACCAAAAAAACTTCATTTTTGTGATAGTCCGTAAAGAGCCCGAAATATTTGTTTGTTTAGTAAATAGTGAGGACAATTATGAATGCTCCTTGGTATATACGAAACGAGGATCTGTATCACAATTTTGATATAAAACTCATAGAAAGTTATAAAAAATACGCCGAAGCTCACAAACATAGACTTCATCGTCACGTGAATATAGAGCTTATACAGCCGTAGATAATACAAATAATGGTGTGTAGACTAAAAAGAACTAAACCATTAAGTTACAGTGAATAAAATAAATATTATTTATATATTATATAGATATATTATATATATTATATTATATAGATATTATATAGATTAGTGACAGTGTTAATTAGACTATGAACACACGAACAAAGTGTCTTCGCTTTAAATAATATTAAAAGACATTTTGTCGATGAACAATTTTTTTTATATCAGTTACTTTTATTTTAAGAAATTATGTTAAATTAAAACTACTTATTAGTCTTCTAAAAAGGCTATATTGTTTGTAAGAGCGGTTATAAGGTTTTGTTTTGCGTTATAACAAAAAAAACCATAATGTGTAACAATGGCGAAAACATAAGAACGCAATATCCATTTGTAGTTTATATTACATTTAATTTGCGAGATATAAGTTTAGATAACACATGTGATAGAGAATCTGGATCTCACCCAATTTATTATCTATGTAATATGTGTAGAAATCTTAGTAATTCATCTCTTTAGAAAACCCTGAACTTAAACAAACATAATACGACAATATGTTACGTCTACCGTATTGTTAGGCCATGTGATTAAACATACTTTACACACCATGTGAATTTTATCCAAACTGGGTTACTCGCTTCATAATGCCTTTACTGACTTATAATATATATTATGAATGAATACGTTGTAATATTAAGCGTAACATCTTCGCATAACTTTATTTAAATATTGATTGTATCTTATTTAAAAGAACGATACAAATTATTACGTTACCTTCAAGGTTTTCCTATGATTAATTTCGTTAGGCTTAATGCTCTGTTGAGTGTTTAACTTTCACTGTTTTATGGGCATTAAGTATTTTGGTACTATATTTGTAAAATAAAATTTATACCACAATTAAAAAGTTATTGATATAGAACATTGCTTATTTAATTACGGAGTTAGAGTTGGCGACATTTGGCCTTGTATAATAGAAGGTAAATTTGTCCATGATCAATTGATTGTGGTTAATAAAGAATTCAAGCAATAAAACAGGAAATAAACAAATTTCTTGAGTAGGGAAATAGAGTACTCTGTTACTAATGACGAATTTTTATTTATAATTTTTCACTTTTCTTAATCTAGATTTAAAAATATTTTGAGGTAAATAATTATTGTTAAAATATCTTCAATCTGAAGTTATATTAGTAAACTTTCAGCTTAAGTAATATTCCGATAGACTAAACAAAATCACACACGATCTATGATTTCAGAAGTTACGTAATTAAGCTCTTTACTTTGCTGTTAAATAAAAAAAATACCAATAGTAAATACTAATAACATAACAGTTATTAAAAATGTTATATTTAGTCAAGTGATGTTATCTATTTATGAGTTTACCTGCACAAAGGTACGGGCAGTATTGATAATGGCTATTGCATCAACTGGAGAATTTAAATTTCGAACTAACCTGGGCTTGCACAGCCAACAGTGAGGCAAGAAGACACCACAACGGCCACATTTTGAGGGAAACACTTGACAGTATCACAGAGCACACTTTGACAGTTCGTTTTTTTGACAGATCGTGTTTTGACAGGTCGTCAGCGCATCATGACGTGCGTTCGGAGCGCGGGTCGGAGCGCCACTGCGGAGTGCAGAGCTCGCAGTCGACTTGGAGAACAACAAACTTTACTTTCTGCGGGACTCGCCAGCGTTCACACCTGCTGCTTTTTTGTGGACGTACAGTGGCCATAGTAACGAAATTTTTCTTAGCTAGCTTAGATATCTTCACGAGGCGTATGAGAAAATAATAATCTAAGCAATAACAGGACGGGTCGGAATATGGGGCCTCACTATTTTAAGGTCGTAATAGAGATGTCTCTACTACGACCTGAAAAAAGTATCAAAACTACTGATCCCTGATACTCATGAGGCAATGTTTTTTGACGTTTCAAAGGTCTTTGTAAAATCCTTCATAATGTAAAAGAAATACGTTCTCGAAGCAATGACGTTACCAGAATCACAAAGGATGTTAAAAGTAGTTAACAAAATAATGTTCCAAAGTTAAGTTCAGAACAGCAATAATCATAAAGTAGTGAGTGTGAACGAGACCTGGCTACGCAACGTTGCGTCTACGGCCGGCAGTCGTTACGACATACGCCCACACCCGTATGTAGAGTTGCAATACCTGTTAATAATATATCAGTTACATTTACGTCATGATAATATAGTAACAAGTATATTTGTTACTAAGTATCAATTTGTATCATGCGCTTTAACGTCGTAAAATCGAGTTCCAATATTCCAAAACGTTTCTTTCTATTTTAAACGCTTTGCCACATTTTACATTTGAACAGTTTTCAAATGTAGTGCAATTAACGCTCTGTCAATATGCAGTATAATACAGGTAGTAGAGCTCCTTGTGAAAGACTTCGTCTAGGAAAGTACTGCCACCTTATCAGCCAAGCAGTAATGTGAATATTACTGTGTTCCTGTTTTGAAGGCGCATGGGTCTTGTCAACTTATGTCTCGGGGTGACGGAATGACGGGGGCATTGCTGTGTCTCTCAGATCTTTGCGATCTAAAGCTCTGCAACTGTTATGGACAGACGTGTCGCTTACCGCTAGGCGCACGATTTGTTCTTCCCGTCTCTTATTTATAAAAAAGTTGAAATTAAATAGTTTCAATATATTGAATTATACGTAGCTATACTATGATATTCATTCCTCAGAACATTCTCGACTCTACGTCTCACCCGCACGCACACAAACTCACGCGCAGGTATACCACCTCGAGATCCTTTCGATAGCCCTACCACGTCTACCGTCTTTTTCGTTTTTAGTACTTGACTGCTGGTTTAAGAGCCTCACAAAAACTTCAACTCATTTCAACCGTATTTTACTACGAGCATATAGATTTACGTATTTTATCCTTTTTATGGCTTTACAAAACTTTATCAAGATTGCTAGTCTATCGAAGTACAAATTTAACTTTAATTATCTCTTTCTCATAGTTTAAAACAAATATATTGTTGGATTTATTCATTACTATCTAGTGCCTACGGGTTGGCCTGCGTATAATAAGTACTTTGATTAACCTACTTTACTATACTAATTTTCATAGTTTTATTGGTTCTCCATACAAACTTTCATCCGTATTACACTCCCTTTAAAATTTCTTTTTATGGCAAAAAGCAGCCTATGTCCTTTTCCTAAGTCCCATCTATGTCTATATCAAATTTCAACAATTTTGGTTCAGCGGTTTAGGCGTAAAATGGTAACAAACAGAGTTACTTTCGCATATATAATATTAGTTTGGATTACCACCTACATTTTATGTTTGCGTCACTTACATTTTATATGGCTGCGAAATAGTTTTAGGATATTAAGTTACTGACAGGTAGCCTGCTAGAAATTATTATTTTGCTTTAAAGCCGCCTGTTGTACATTAGCTTATTTTGTCATATTTTCAATACTGGTATGTATTATCATGAAGAATATTTTATACATACATTTTTTACACTCAGCTACAGGTTAAGCTACAAATAATGTCACTTTCATGAACTGAAAATTTGAAAGTTTTGTGAAAGACATATGGTACATTTTTCAACAACAAAACTTTACTTTTGGTTAACAGTTTCCAATAATGTGACTTACCATGCATAATGTGATGTTTAGTATTTCCATATAAAAGAGTTCAACGAGAGATTTGCCTATTAGACATATCTTTGTTTGATAACCATAATTAGGTAGAAGTTTAGGTAGAATATTATATTTTTTGTTTTATTTTAATTTTAAAATCTTTGTATATTTCTTAATTAGTTTACCACATACAACGTCACGTAGGTAACTCATTACTAGGAAATCTCTAGACAAGCTATTTCTAAATAACTGCGATACTGTACATTACAAGAATAGTAATAACATCTCTTGATTTAGCCCCTACGTGTTATACTGTTAGGACAAATATTAGGACAAAGGTTAGGACCAATATTTGAAAATAAGTTTGGGTTTGAAACACGCATGCAACATGTTTTAACATGCATATCGGTTTTTGAGTTAAGCGCCATCTAGCGGCGTGGCGCGTTAAGTGTTGATGGCTTTTTCTGTGAACGTTTGACGTAGATGGCGCAACAATCGGGGCACGTTGCCGCCCAAAATCAATACCATATCCGGCATGCGCCGCCCAATGTATATTCCTTCAGTGTTTCAAAAAGCACTCTCCTAGTTGCCCATTTTCGTACGTCTGTACTCGCTGCAGTGCTTGTGCGCTACCTATCTTCAAAAGCACGGATTTACCCCAAATTCTGTAAGTAATTTTCTTTTTTTTATTGTATATAAACTACACAGTATTTTTCTTGTACAAAAAATTTGCAAGTTCATTCATAAGGCATGAAAACACGCGTTGTATCGTGAAAAAGCGTAGAATCAAAGGCTGAAATACAGGTTAGGAGCTATAGTGTAGGGCGGGGATTGACCCCGTAAGAAGGATTTAACGGATAACACATTGACCGGATTAACTTTCACTTTCAAGAAATATCGCGTAATTTCTAAATATTCATAATTTTTACATGCTATTTGTCTTGAAGGCAGTCATTAAGTATGGTTTAAGTTTAGCGATACAAATACTAACACTATATATAGTTCATTCATATGGTTACCAAAACGTAGTATTTCAAGTTAAAGTAAAGTAAAGATTTTTACTAACTGGAGTCATTATTTAAGAGTTCGTTTCAATTATTTATTTCGAACTAAGTCATGTAAAAAGAACGTTAAAATCGTTTTTAGGATCCCTTCAGACATTAATATTTTGCAGATGGCAACTAAAAACTTTTCTTACTTTGTTATACTTACTACGAGGATCGATAAAAAAAGGAAAATATTTTCTCATGTAACTTTCTAGGTGTAACAAATTATCGTTCTTTATGGTAATCGAATCCTGTATCGCAGAAATACTTATTCTTTACGATCGTGTTATACCGAGAAAGTTTGGGGATTCATTTTTGATGAGAAAGTTTCACCCTATTTATTTCCTATCGATGTGCGTGAACAAATAACGTATTTAAATAAATTATACAAATTTTGTCCATAAATATAACAATAATTATTCAAAACCTGTATGAACAAGTAAATTGATTACACTTTAAATAATATTGTTGATGACGTAAAAGATGTGTGTTAGGATCGTAGCAAGTGAAAAGCTGTTCTGTACCTAGCTAAACGGGAAAAATGTTATGTCAAAGTTACAGAGTTCATGATCTCGATGGCCCAGCGCTTAGCACTGTGGACGCTAGATGAGGAAATCCCGGGATCGATTCTCGGTAGGACCAATTTAAGAAATGAACCGTTCTAAATTGTCTTAATTGTTTAAATTACCCTAATTCGCAATCAGGTAAATAATTGGTATGTTTATATAGAAGTATCACAATTATTTTTAACAAATTTCAACGACCAACGTATATTTTATTGACACATACAAAATTCCAACATTATTTTGAATTTTTTTTATAATACCATGTGACGGGATGAACAAGTCGTGCGCCTGGTGGTCAGCGACACGCCTGTCCATAACAGTTGCAGTGCCACTCAGAGTTTTAGATCGCAAAGCTCTTAGAGGCACCGCCACTGCGTCCGTCACTCTGAGACATGAGTCGATAAGTCCCATGTGCCTGTAATTTCACCAAACCGGAAAGCAGTAATGCTCACAATACTACTTGGCGGGAGAAATAGACAACCTGAAAATTATTTAATTACAAATAAATTTTGAGTCAGTGACCAAACTATTGTATTGAAAAGAACCTCAAGTCAAGTCATGAGTAAATAAGGCTGGTTCTCTGTTTTCATTAAAAAAATAATAATAGAAGATGTTACACGTTCTTTCCACATTTAAAAAAAAATTAAAGTCAGCAACGTGGAATAGCTTAAATCAATAAGTCTCTTTAAAACCTAAGCGATAAAGGCTGTTCAAAATGTTCTCCAATTGTGTCAGGCCTAGACTAAACTATTGCTCAGTGCTTCAAAGTAACAATAGTGTTTTATTGCTTTGGGTCTGCTCCTGGGATATTAACCGGCTATTTTAACAAGATTCGGTAGTTAAGTCTTATTACGATTAAAGTTAGATTGCGTACATAAACAGAAAATTACTGCTATAAAAAGACCGAGGGTATTCAGCCCTTGACATTAAAAGTAGATTATGTATTACATAAAACTCGTGAAGACATTGAACTTTGTCGATTTAGTAAATACTTAGTACAGGTAATATGTACCTTATGATTTTTTAGTATATAGCATAAATTATTTAAAAATTGAAATGACCAAATTTTGTTCACGGTTCCGATGAAGTATAAGCTAAATAGCAGCAAATTTGAAAAATATTTCCGGCGAGTTAAGTGCTATAATGAACTTCTTTAGTTCATAATGAGATAGAACAGATAACAATGTGAGCATTTAGTTGTGGCTGGTCAGATCGATGCTCCAGTATCATAATAACGTCACCAAGTTGGCCGGCAGCCAGGACTACCTATTGTGTATTTGGAGGGCAACTATCGTCGAAAATGTTGTCTCACTCTAGTTACCCCTCTCTTAAGTTCAGTTTCTCTGGAACTATAAATGTACAATCATTTTCACAAATATTTAAAT